CAATCAAGATATATTTCTTTCATAAAAATCGGGTTAGGAAGGATCAACTGCATACTAAGGCTTTATCAAGAAGATATGTCGATAATATAGGTAGATATGAGATTAGATTCTAGATTCAAAATATTTTGAATTGAATTGAAAAAGTAGCGTAGATAGGATTTCCGGTAACCGTTGCTTTGCTCTCTCCGTGTTCACTGTTATGCTTCTTCAGATGATGAGTCACACACGCCTGTGAGGCACTTTATGAAATCGAAAACCAGCATCAGCTACGGATAGATAGAACGTAACCATTAGTGAAAACAATTTCGTGGTATAAAATGCTTAAGTAAAATCTTCGACATTGAGCTAATCTCATTCAACTAAGAGAATATTTGAAGAAAAAATCACAGCTCATAAATGGCAGTTGAATATATCTTTCATCTGAGTATGGAAGCCTTACGTTAGGTTCGCTCTCCTCGACTACACAAGTGCCGTCCTCAATGGCAGCCAACATAGCATCTGCTTCCGGAGAATCCTCTATTTCTTCTAACTTGGCGATCACGTCTTCTGTGAACGCCGTCGCATCGAACAAACCATCATCCTTTTTATAAATAAGATTAAGATATGATGAAGTACTGGTATGGATTGAACCTTAGATGACACAAATGAATATAATATTACATTCATTATGTCTGTAAGCATATGGTAGATTAAAAAGTACATTACTCACAATGACCTGCTAAGAAAACGTTTACAATGGTGTGACCATTAGATAGAGAAAGAGCGAGGCGAACTCACTGTGAGAAAGTCTTCCTCCTCGAAGATACACTCGGCTAGGGCTGTCTGATCTTCTTGAGGAAGGCGTGAGATGAACCGCATCATATGAGAACTTCTCTTTCCTCTGCCAAATCTGTTACGCCCTCTGCGGCCGCCGGGTCGTCGACCAGACCCTTTGGGTATTTCATGTTTACTTCCAACCATTTCATTCGGTGTTTAGCCACAGATTATTATATCTATACATAGATAATTTCCAGGTGCTTAGTCACCAAGGTGTCAAATACTAGTCTTATCTATCTCCCCTGTTTACCATTCCTCATTTTCGGAAATATACATATTTTAATTCTTATATTGTTATTAGTGGTGTTACACACAGTCACACAGGCTTACTATGTGACTAAGCACTTTTTTACTATGCGTAAAAACTTCATAAAACAAGCACCACAGTGGACACTGCATGTTTCCAATAACAGAGTTAACACTATCCTAAAAATGTCAAACGTCATTCGAAAATCACTCACCGTTTAGGTTTGGGATGATTCCATTTTCCTCCATACAGCTTCCTATGGTTTCTGTCATGTTTTCCATATGCATCAGCTCGAATATCACATCGTAGCATTCACCTGTTGAAGAGGATGATCCAAGTTTAGTTTATAGTAATTTTATAAGTTATGTTATTAGTTCAAATCTTAGGATATTATAACGTTATTTACGCGTCTGACTATTAACGCGCAGTAAACAAAGTAAATACTTTAATGGAGTATTTTATTTCATAGAGAGGAACTACATGAAGGAATTAGCTTTTTATATAAAAATCGATATTTAACTTCATTTAATACAATGAGGTTTAGAACGCCAGTGTCTTCAAGCGCTTGAATACGTCCTCAGCAAATAAAATTCAGAGATTCATTGGCCTGTGACTGATATGTTGTGGCTCTCACTGTCATGCCGAATGGGCGTCCAGTGTTCTTTGCACGTGCCTAAATAAACAGAGGCAGAAGAAACTAGAGGCGGAAGAAACATGGATTTGAATGAGTTTCATGAAACTTCTTTGAAATGGTTTCGTCTTCTTTTTCAGCTAAAACATTGCAATATTTAAATCAGGAAAAGCTCTCGGGAACTTCCTTTTTTCCCTGCAAGCCTGAACCGCCACCATGGCGGCCGTGAGCGCGAGCAGCATCAACAACTCCCATGAAACATCTTTGAAATGGCTTCGCCCTCCTGTTCGTTTACAACGCAGTAATATGTCAGGAAAAGCTCTCGGGAACTTACCTCTTCCCCTGGAAGCCTGAACCGCCACCATGGCGGCCGCGAGCGCGAACAGCATCAACAGCTCCTTCATGATGAAAGCGACTGACTGCGAAACAGTGTTAGTTATTTTTAGACATCATGTGTGTTTGTTTTCCATATATTTATGTATGTATATAGTCATTCATCTATCTATACCTGTATGTATAATTTAGTACATGTCCAACTGTCTACAAAGGATACATTTACACTGTAAACAGAATAAACATACACACATATGTGTTTATATATATGTGTATATATATTTAGATATTTACTCATAATCGAAAAAGTACATACTTATATAAATATATATTCATAAATAATATTCATATATAAATATATAGATACACATATATGCATATATATATTTTTGTATATATATAAATATATATCAACGCACATATACACGACACACACATATATAAATGCATATATATATATATATGCATTTCTCTATATATGCAGTGGAACTTCCCATAATAGGCACCTCAAGGGACCCAGCCAAAAGTGCCAATTTCGAGAAGTTGCCAAATCGGGGAAGTTGGGGTTCAACGCAGGCGGACCGACGAGAAAAACAGGATCAAGGACGACAGAAAGTCATAGTTATACAGTACAGATATCTTTATGTATGTACAAAAAACAAAACAAAAAAACAATCAGCATTATGAAATTGACCACGAAAATGTATGAAAAGGCATTTCAAAGACACAATTTTAAAACATTTACAAGAGCATTAGCAATAATTTGACACTTCAATAAAAAATCCATGACTGTTCAACTGTCCGTGCGAATGACATACGACATCAAGTCAGTCGCCTTCGTCATCGCTGTCGTCGTTCTCATCAGGACGTCGCGCGCGATGATCGTCATCTTCCGTTGACGCGACGTCGCTCGTGACCAAATCGCTGTCGCACTCCACGTTTTCAGTCGCTGTGTCGGCTCCTGACCCGGTTGCGCGTTGAAATCGACGAACGATATCTGCCAACGGCATATCGTCTTCTGGATCCTCTGACTCTTTTGTGACCTCATCCGTGAAACCGCAGAAACTCGCCGCGACAGTTTGCTGACGCACGCGCTCGACTACCTCTGCGGGCAGTTTGACGTTGCTAAGTTCCAAAGGGGGGTGGCATGTGTTAATTGAGTAAAACATCAAATGAGTGGAACTGTTATTAAGCCACGCCTCCTTTGTTAACTGGGCCAATCACTGAGCCTATTTGCCCCAATACTAAGTCTGGGAAGCTGATTGGCTAATTGGGACAACTGTTTAACCGCCAATTGCCAAAGACGGGAAGTGCCAAGAAATTACAATAGCTTCGGTCGGGACCGCGGAAAATCCGCCTATTAGGGAAGTTGCCAAGTCCGGGAAGTGCCTATTATGTGAAGTTCCACTGTATATACACACACATATATGTACATTCATTTACGTATAGAAATATATATATATATATACACGCACACACGGATATATATGCATATACATATACAAAATGAACATATATATAATTATCTGTCTGCTGACATTTTAGCGATGCATAAATATACAAAGATATTTACATATATTTTACATATATGTATATATTCATTACATATACTATGTATATATCGTATATATAATACACACAGACACACATACACACACACACACATATATATATACTATACACACGCATGCATATAAATCGGATACTCACAACCAAGAGTGACACTGGAACTTCTACAGGGTGTGAAGTCGTGTGGTGACTGGATGTTGCGTCGGCTTTTATATACGAAGCAGCTGTGTCTTTGCTGCTGTGTCTTGGTGACTCAGCTGTCACGGATGGGGAACACAGGCCAGCTTGTGGTGACGTCAATAGAATTGAAGTATTTGGATTTTTTTTATAAGAACTCATTTGTTATTTACGCACCCTAGTTGAGAAATATTTATCTATATATTATATACTTGTGTCCACAGCAACGTATGCAGTATTGCTGCAGCACTCGTACGAATATAGTGAATCTACAATCAACTCTCTCACTCTTTCTCTGTACTCTTCTCTGTGTGCACACATTTATAAGTAATATGTTTATATATATGTAAACACACACACACACACAAATATATGTATATTACACAAAAGCACACGCAGATGCACACACATATGCAGATATGCATATACATATATATACATTATATATACATTATATATGAAACAAAAATAAGAACACATGTATATATGCATATATATGCATATATCTATACAAATATCCATATATACATTTAAAAAAATACACAAACACATTTATAAATCCTTACGTATGTAATATTTGTACGTATGCACTCATATATGTGTATGAGGCATGGGCGTGAGGATAATGCATTGCATCAGTTTTGACGTCTGCTGTCTTTAAATCTTTTAATGTTTTAATGGAGTTATGAGCGTAATCACTGTTATGTTGCCAATAACCTATTTTACACGATACAATCACGAAAAATCTCTGCTGAATTAGAAAGCAGACATCAGATCTGTGGCCAAGGTTAAGACAGAAGTCTAGCACAGACACATTGAAGCTAAATGGTAATTTCATTGCAAAACTGTACATGGATCTGGTTGCATACCCAAATCAAAATGGCAGGCCTTAGACCAAAAGCGGACGCCACCTGATTTTTTTTAAAATTAAAAGAGGTCATACTATATTTGAGAAACTAACATAGAAACTAGTAAATATTGCCTAAAACCACATCCTCCATTGGTTGATGTAGATATAATTACCACTTATGTTTATTTTTAGATCATCATATGCATATGTAATACATTCATATGCACACATACGAAGCACAATTGTTAATGATAAGTAAATTGATGATAGATAATAACAGAGGTTTCATTATACGTAGACAAGAATATAAAGCTAAAGGAAACATTTCCACATATTGTGTTGATACTCACTCATCCTCATAGATACTGTAGACTGTCTCGTATTAGGCCACTCCCGCAAAAGTACCTTTACTAATATTTTTTTCCAACTTCCCAGTCTTTGGTTTAAAAATCTAAGGGCTTCCTTGGGGTAGGACAAAAATATTATTAGGGTTAGGGTGGAATGGAGACTAGTAGACCTACCCCAGTCACTAAAGAAAAATTGGAGATAGCGATTTAAACAACACTTGTCCACCATGAGAATTATTGATTTGAATAGCAATCATTTCTACCATGATGATCAATGGAATCTGCCAGCAACTGGTAGTTTCCATCGTTGTAGTTACACTGTTGATGTACAGCCATGTTACAATCAAGAAATATTTCTTTCATAAAAATCGGGTTAGGAAGGATCAACTGCATGCTAAGGCTTTATCAAGAAGATATGTCGATAATATAGGTAGATATGAGATTAGATTCTAGATTCAAAAGATTTTGAATTGAATTGAAAAAGTAGCGTAGATAGGATTTCCGGTAACCGTTGCTTTGCTCTTTCCGTGTTCACTGTTATGCTTCTTCAGATGATGAGTCACACACGCCTGTGAGGCACTTTATGAAATCGAAAACCAGCATCAGCTACGGATAGATAGAACGTAACCATTAGTGAAAACAATTTCGTGGTATAAAATGCTTAATAAAATCTTCGACATTGAGCTAATCTCATTCAACTAAGAGAATATTTGAAGAAAAAGTCACAGATCATAAGTGGCAGTTGAATATATCTTTCATCTGAGTATGGAAGCCTTACGTTAGGTTCGCTCTCCTCGACTACACAAGTGCCGTCCTCAATGGCAGCCAACATAGCATCTGCTTCCGGAGAATCCTCTATTTCTTCTAACTTGGCGATCACGTCTTCTGTGAACGCCGTCGCATCGAACAAACCATCATCCTTTTTATAAATAAGATTAAGATATGATGAAGTACTGGTATGGAGTGAACCTTAGATGACACAAATGAATATAATATTACATTCATTGTGTCTGTAAGCATGTGGTAGATTAAAAAGTACATTACTCACAATGACCTGTTAAGAAAACATTTACATTGATGTGAAGATTAGAGAAAGAGCGAAGCAAACTTACTGTGAGAAGGCTTTCCTCCTCGAAGATACACTCGGCTAGGGCTGTCTGATCTTCTTGAGGAAGGCGTGAGATGAACCGCATCATATGAGGACTTCTCTTTCCTCTGCCAAATCTGTTACGTCCTCTGCGGCCGCCGGGTCGTCGACCAGGCCCTTTGGGTATTTCATTTTTACTTCCAACCATTTTATTCCTTTTTTAGCTTACATGCATCACTTAACCTTATCCCACAGTTTATTGTATTTATACATAGATGATTCCTCATTTTCGGAAATATACATATTTTAATTCTTATATTGTTATTAGTGTTGTTAGTGACATATAATGCCAATAATATTAATAGCATCAGATTTTTTTTTCCGAAAAGAAGAAATCATGTAAGGTCACACATGCCTACTATGTGACTAAGCACTTTTGGAACTATCTATGCGTAAAAACTTCATAAAACAAACATCACAGTGAACAGTGCATGTTTCCAGTGAGTTAACACTCAAATGTCAAATGTCATTCGAAAATCACTCACGGTTTAGGTTCAAGACGATTCCATTTTCCTCCATACAGCTTTCTATGATTTCTGTCATGTTTTCCTTATGCATCAGCTCGTATATCACCTCGTGGCATTCACCTGTTCAAGAGGATGATCCAAGATTAGTTTATAGTAGTTTCATAATATGTGGTCTTTGTTCAAATCTTAGGATATATCTCGTTTGTTGTTTAAACTAATGCAACCTTCATGCGAAGCAAGTTAGTATGAGAATTATAACGTTATTTACGCGTCTGACTATTCACGTGTAGTAAACAAAGTAAATATTCTAATGATGTATTTCATTCTATAGAGAAGAACTATATGAACGAATTAGCTTTCCATATAAAAACGATATTTAACTTCATAGGATACAGATTTAGAACGCCAGTGTCTTCGAGCGCTTGAGTACGTCCTCAGCAAATAAAATTCAGAGATTCATTGCATTTTCGGACAGTTGGAGATGGCAATTGGGCTGTGACTGATATGTTGTGGCTCTCACTGTCATGCCAAACGGACGTTCAGTGTTTTTTGCACGTGCTTAAATAGACAGAGGCAGAAGAAACTAGAGGCAGAAGAAACATGGATTTGGATAAGTTCCATGAAACTTCTTTGAAATGGTTTCTTCCTTTTCAGCTAAAACATTGCAATATTTAAAATCAGGAAAAGCTCTCGGGAACTTCCTTTTTTCCCTGCAAGCCTGAACCGCTACCATGGCGGGCATGAGCGCGAGCAGCATCAACAACTCCCTTGAAACATTGAAATGGCTTCGCCCTCCTGTTCGTTTACAACGTAGTAATATGTCAGGAAAAGCTCTCGGGAACTTACCTCCTCCCCTAGAAGCCTGAACCGCCACCATGGCGGCCGCGAGCGCGAACAGCATCAACAGCTCCTTCATGATGAAAGCGACTGACTGTGAAACAGTGTTAGTTATTTTTAGATATTTGTGTTTATTTTCCATATATTTATGTATGTATATAGTCATTCATCTATGTATACCTATATGTAAAATCTAGTACATGTCCAACTGTCTATAAAGGATACATTTACACTGTAAACAGAATAAACATACACACATATGTGTTTATTTATATCGAAAAAGTACATACTTATATAAATATATATTCATAAATAATATTCATATATATATATATATAAATACACATATATGCATATATATATTTTTGTATATATATAAATATATATCAACGCACATATACACGACACACACATATATAAATGCATATATATATATATATGCATTTCTCTATATATGCAGTGGAACTTCCCATACTAGGCACCTCAAGGGACCCAGCCAAAAGTGCCAATTTCGAGAAGTTGCCAAATCGGGGAAGTTGGGGTTCAACGCAGGCGGACCGACGAGAAAAACAGGATCAAGGACGACAGAAAGTCATAGTTATACAGTACAGATATCTTTATGTATGTACAAAAAAACAAAACAAAAAAACAATCAGCATTATGAAATTGACCACGAAAATGTATGAAAAGGCATTTCAAAGACACAATTTTAAAACATTTACAAGAGCATTAGCAATAATTTGACACTTCAATAAAAAAATCCATGACTGTTCAACTGTCCGTGCGAATGACATACGACATCAAGTCAGTCGCCTTCGTCATCGCTGTCGTCGTTCTCATCAGGACGTCGCGCGCGATGATCGTCATCTTTCGTTGACGCGACGTCGCTCGTGACCAAATCGCTGTCGCACTCCACGTTTTCAGTCGCTGTGTCGGCTCCTGACCCGGTTGCGCGTTGAAATCGACGAAATCGATATCTGCCAACGGCATATCGTCTTCTGGATCCTCTGACTCTTTTGTGACCTCATCCGTGAAACCGCAGAAACACGCCGCGACAGTTTGCTGACGCACGCGCTCGACTACCTCTGCGGGCAGTTTGACGTTGCTAAGTTCCAAAGGGGGGTGGTATGTGTTAATTGAGTAAAACATCAAATGAGTGGAACTGTTATTAAGCCACACCTCCTTTGTTAACTGGGCCAATCACCGAGCCTGTTTGCCCCAATACCAAGTCTGGGAAGCTGATTGACTAATTGGGACAACCGTTTAACCGCCAATTGCCAAAGACGGGAAGTGCCAAGAAATTACAATAGCTTCGGTCGGGACCGCGGAAAATCCGCCTATTAGGGAAGTTGCCAAGTCCGGGAAGTGCCTATTATGGGAAGTTCCACTGTATATACACACACATATATGTACATTCATTTACGTATAGAAATATATATATATATACACGCACACACGGATATATATGCATATACATATACAAAATGAACATATATATAATTATCTGTCTGCTGACATTTTAGCGATGCATAAATATACAAAGATATTTACATATATTTTACATATATGTATATATTCATTACATATACTATGTATATATCGTATATATAATACACACAGACTAACATACACACACACACACATATATATACTATACACACGCATGCATATAAATCGGATACTCACAACCAAGAGTGACACTGGAACTTCTACAGGGTGTGAAGTCGTGTGGTGACTGGATGTTGCGTCGGCTTTTATATACGAAGCAGCTGTGTCTTTGCTGCTGTGTCTTGGTGACTCAGCTGTCACGGATGGGGAACACAGGCCAGTTTGTGGTGACGTCAATAGAAATGAAGTATTTGGATTTTTTTTATAAGAACTCATTTGTTATTTACGCACCCTAGTTGAGAAATATCTATACATTACATACTTTGGATTTTATCGATGTCTATGATGATTTTTTTCATTGCAAAGTATGCAACAGTGTGGGCCAATAGTAAATGCCATGCCTATCAGGTTTTGAAAATTATAACAGATACATATACACATTATATATATACACGTATATATATGTATTTATACATAGCATACACGCATATATATGTATATATACATAGGCATATATATTTATATACTCATACATATGCACGCATATGTATATACATATACATAGAGACATATATGTATATATATAAATGCGAATTCGTGGCTTTAATGGCTTCTCGATTTTTTTATTAATGAATAAAAAAAATTACGCGAATCAGGAAAAAAATCACAGCAAACGGATTTAGTCTGACTCCATAGAATATTAATGTGCAAAGGGTAATTTAAATTTACTCTTTAGTATACAGTATATGTGTGTGTTTGCACACTATATATATGTACATTTCTATTTTTATATCTCTATAGTATGGAAGTGTGACGATGGGTATGGTAAGTGTACCTAATACTGGACACATACCGCTTCACTGTTGAGAGCTAGTAAATTTTCCGTATTCATTAATTTTGGTATTCAAAGAGGATTGTCGCTCTGTGTAAGTCCTAGAAACTCTCTTGTTTAAATCGTTGGTTTTGTGCGATTTCTGACAAGGAATTATCTCAGGAACGTCTTGTACTTTCCTTCGATTTAATGAAATGGTATATTTACGATAAATCCTACAATAATTATGCTTTATCATGTATGGAATATCTATGCAGAATGCTAGAAACTTATTCACAATATATTAAAAGAATATATATAAAAGTAGACCTGGCAGGTAATAATCGTTGCTGAGAAGTTGAATGCGTTTTGAGTACTTCTTTGTTGCTGCTATTATTTGCTAGCAACTTTTAGTCGTAAAAATCTCATACCTATGCTTGATTGTATTTCATCATCCATGAAAACGGTTACCTATTTCATTCACTCCAGTTTATACAAAATTAATTTACATGTAGTATTAACGTCTGATTTCGCCTAGAGAAACTGGAGGACCTTGTAGCACACGCAAGTTAAACTTTTATATTTTTCTGTTCACTCATCCTTATAGTTACTATAAACTGTCTCGTATCTTGCCACTCAAAACACCTTTTACTGTTCAATCTTTCCACCTTTCCATAGGCATTCTTTGGTTTAAAGATTTAATAGGTCATTCTAGAGTTAGTGTGGTATGGGGATTGAGAGACCTACCCCAGCCACTCAATTTTGTGTTATTAAACAGGAAAAATTATTGATTTGAATAACAATTATTTCTACCATAAGTGTCAGATGATCTATGAAATCTGCCAGTAACAGTTGGTTTCCTGAACATATTTCATCGTGGTAATTATTGTATACTGTTAAGGTATGTCGTCATATAACATTCAAGGAGATTTTCATAAGTAGGTGAAGAATGATCAACTGAATGCTAAGGATTTATTAGGAAGAAATAAAGGTGGATTTGAGATTAGATTTCAGATTCAAAAGATTTTGAATCGAATCAGTAGTTACAGGATCAGTTATCAATTTGATGAAAGGAGCGTAGATAGGATTTCTGGTAACCGTTGCTTTGCTCTTTCCGTGTTCACTATTATGCTTCTTCAGATGATGAGCCACACACACCTTTGAGGCACTTAATGAAATCGAAGACCAGCATCAGCTACGGACAGATAGAACGTAACCATTAGTGAAAACAATATCGTGGTATAAAATGCTTGAATAAAATCCTCGACATTGAGCTAATCTCATTCAGTTAAAAGAACATTTAAAGAAAAAGTCTCAGATCATAGTTGGCAATTGATTATATCTTTCAGCTGAGTATGGAAGCCTTACGTCAGGTTCGCTCTCCTCGACTACACAAGTGCCGTCCTCAATGGCAGCCAACATAGCCTCTGCTTCCGGAGAATCCTCTATTTCTTCTAACTTGGCGATCACGTTTTCTGTGAACGTCGTCGCATCGAACAAACCATCATCCTTTTTATAAATAAGATTAAGATATGATGAAGTACTGGTATGGATTGAATCTTAGATGACACAAATGAATATAATATTACGATCATTGTGTCTGTAAGCAGACACATATTGATGTGAAGATTAGATACAGAGCGAAGCAAACTTACAGTAAGAAGGCTTTCCTCCTCGAAGATACACTCGGCTAGGGCTGTCTGATCTTCTTGAGGAAGGCGTGAGATGAACCGCATCATATGAGGACTTCTCTTTCCCCTGCCAAATCTGTTACGTCCTCTGCGGCCGCCGGGTCGTCGACCAGGCCCTTTGGGTATTTCATTTTTACTTCCAACCATTTTATTCCTTTTTTAGCTTACATGCATCACTTAAGCTTATCCCACAGTTTATTGTATTTATACATAGATGATTCCTCATTTTCGGAAATATACATATTTTAATTCTTATATTGTTATTAGTGTTGTTAGTGACATATAATGCCAATAATAATATTAATAGCATCAGATTTTTTTTCCGAAAAGAAGAAATCATGTAAGGTCACACAGGCCTACCATGTGACTAAGCACTTTTGGAACTATCTATGCGTAAACACTTCGTAAAACAAACATCACAGTGGACAGTGCATGTTTCCAGTGAGTTAACACTCAAATGTCAAATGTCATTCGAAAATCACTCACGGTTTAGGTTCAAGACGATTCCATTTTCCTCCATACAGCTTTCTATGATTTCTGTCATGTTTTCCTTATGCATCAGCTCGTATATCACCTCGTGGCATTCACCTGTTCAAGAGGATGATCCAAGATTAGTTTATAGTAGTTTCATAATATGTGGTCTTTGTTCAATTCTTAGGATATATCTCGTTTGTTGTTTAAACTAATGCAACCTTCATGCGAAGCAAGTTAGTATGAGAATTATAACGTTATTTACGCGTCTGACTATTCACGTGTAGTAAACAAAGTAAATATTCTAATGATGTATTTCATTCTATAGAGAAGAACTATATGAACGAATTAGCTTTCCATATAAAAACGATATTTAACTTCATGCGATACAATGAGATTTAGAACGCCAATGTCTTCGAGCGCTTGAGTACGTCCTCAGCAAATAAAATTCAGAGATTCATTGCATTTTCGGACAGTTGGAGATGGCAATTGGGCTGT